AAGTTGTCAAGGACTTCATTCTTCTTGGATCAACTATCAATACTCGCGGAAGCAGCAGTCAAGAGATCAGACGACGTATTGCATTGGGCATATCTGCTGCACAGGAACTTTTTAAAGCATTGAAGAGCAGAGATGTCAGCTTGAGGACTAAGGTGCGCCTGACCCAAGTCATGGTATTTTCAGTAACCTCATATGGATGCGAAAGCTGGACAGTGGATAAGGAAAATCGTAGAAGAATTGATGCCTTTGAGTTGTGGTGTTGGAGGAGAATACTGAAAGTGCATGGACTGCCAAAAGATCCAATAGATCTGTGTTGGAAGACGTGCAGCCAGAGTGCTCCTTGGAGGCCAAGATGGCTAAGCTTCGTCTCTCATCCTTTGGACATATTGTCAGGAGAGAACAGTCGCTGTAGAAGGATGTCATGCTGGGTAAGGTGGAGGGTCAGAGAAAAAGAAGAAGACCCCTAACGAGATGGATTGGCCAGGTGGCATCATTGATGGACTCAGGTGTGGCAGCGGTAGTGAGGATTGGACATTGTTTCGTTCTGCTGTGCATGGGGTCGCTATGAGTCGGTTCCGACTCGATGGCACCTGACAGAAACAACAACAACAATCAGAAGGGACCAGTCCCTGGAAAAGGATATGTTGGTGGTAAAGTGATGGTGGTGGTGTGCCGTGGAGTCGGTTCCAACTCATAGTGACCCTGTGTAGGATTTCTGAGGTTGTAAATCTTTACAGGAGTAGAAAGCCTCATCTTTCTCTCACAGAATGGCTGGTAGTTTCGAACTGCTGACTTAGAGGTTAGCAACCCGACTCGTAACCACTATGCTGCAACAGTATAAATGTAAGAATGGCTAAAGTAGCCTTCTCATATTCACCACATTATCTTGTATTAAAATGTCGGAACAAGCCTTCCAAGCATCTTCTGTTACTGCTTGATTTCCCTTTTTTAACTGTGGGTGTTACTGTGGAAACCAGGAAGAAGTTACTCTTGAACTGTGGGTGATGAGAATAGTGGCAGATAGTAAATGTTTGGTGAAGATTTCTGCTGTAGGATGGGAAGATTTATTGTTCTTAAGTGCCATTGAGTCGGTTCCAGCTCATAGTGACTTTATTTAGGGTTTCTGAGGAGTGGCTGGTGAGCTTGAAGCGCCAGCCTTGTGGTTCAAACCAACCTTGTGGTCCAGTGCATTATCCCCTAGCGCCACGCCAGGCCTCCATGCTGGGAAGAGAGGAGTGGTGAAAAGTATCACTCTTCCTTTTTTATCTCTTTGTAACTGCACTGTAAAAGAGCCATAAATTGTTCTGTCTTTGTTGTTAAGTGCATTCAAGTTGATGCTAACTCATAGTGACCCTGTATAGGGTTTACGAGGAGCAGCTGATGAGTTTGAACTGCTGACCTTGTGGTTCAAACCGACCTTGAAGTCCAGTGTTTTTCCTATGGCACCATGCCTTACAATTCCCATCAGATGACAAGTTCTTTACATTTTGAGTGTTTCTACTATTAGAGAAATAGTCTCTTAATTACCTAGTATTGCCTCTCAAAAAATGTCTTTTAAATGCAAATGTAGTAGTAGTTGTTATTGTTGTTAAGTGCAGTTCTGGGTGTGCCGTGGGTTAATACACTGGACTGCAAGGCTGGTTTGAACTGCAAGGTTGGCAGTTCAAGCTCACCAACTGCTTTTCAGAAACCCTATACAGAGTCACTATGAGTTGTAACTAACTCAGCTGCACTTAGCAACAACAACAGCATCAACAATGAAAGATTAAATGGCCAGACCTTAAAGAGCTGCTTCATAAGAGGTCAGGTCTCAGCAGGTTACCAAAGAAGATTCTCAGTTGCTCCGGCTGGCTGTGGTCGTGGGTGGGACGGAGGGGAAGCAAGAAGGAGCCAGTGGGGCGGTTCCAGTTGGGTCTGGGCCCAGTCTCATGGATTTTGTTTTGACCCTCTGTCCATCAGTATTTGGAAGAAGAGTACCGCAAAGGAGCCCGGGAAGATGACCCCATGCCTCCTGTGCAGCCTTATCACTATGGTTCCCACTACTCAAACAGCGGGACTGTGCTCCACTTCCTGGTCAGGCTGCCCCCTTTCACGAAGATGTTCTTAGCCTACCAAGGTAAGGAACCGTTTGGGTTTGTTTCCAGAACTGCCTAAAGCAGTCATTCTGGGTCATCTGGGTAAAAACTAAAAAAGATTGGCATCTTAAGAAGTCATGGAGACCAGTCTGACCACAGGAGACCTGTGTAAAGTGTAAAGTGTATATGCCACTCAGTGTTTAAAGTGAACTTTTTGTTAACAGTGATAGTAATAATGATTTTAAATCATAAATTAGCTTTTGTGCCTGAAAGCGGGAGTGTTGTTGTTAGGTGCTGTCAAGTCGATTCCAACTCATAGTGACCCTATGTACAGCAGAACTCAACACTACCTGGTCCTCCACCATCCTCACAAGTGTTCTGCTTGAGCACTTTGTTGCATCCACTGTCACAGTCCTTCACGTAGGGGGTCTTCTTCTTGGCCTTGGCCCTCAATTTTATCAAGCATGATGTCCTTCTCCAGGGACTGGTCCCTCCTGATAACATACTCAGGGTATATGAGGAGTCTCGCCATCCTCGCGGTAAAGGGGCTTTCTGACTGTACTTCTGCCAAGACAGACTTGATTGTTCTTTTGGCTTATACGTCAACACCATAATTCAAAGGCATCAGATCTTCTCTGGGCCTCATTATTCACTGGAGTATGTGATTTTAATTTATTCAGGATAACCAGTGAAAATGAGGGCTACCCAGTACCTTCACCCTAGTAACTTTCTAGTTAATAATCTTCTATTTCAGCATTTTCAGTGGCAGCCAGCAGATGTGGGGATGGCTTTTTAATGATCTGTACAAAATTGGCACAGCCATACCGTATCATTACTAGTTAAGAACTGGAGTGTTGGCTCTGTAACTGCTCCTGATAGTACTCAAAAGCCTTTGTGCAACCATTGTCTATTCATTTATTCCACCCTGTTTGAGCTTCTTTATGTAAAAGCTCAAAATAGTACTTGTTGGAAGAACGCATTTATGTTCTCTCTACTGGGCTTCTGAAAGGTTCTTTTATGTTTGTCCTTCTGTCAGTACATAGAACACATTATCCACATGACAGCTGTTCAGATAGTTTAAGGTGGTTTTACTGTCCCCTTTCTCCCTGTCAGTCTTGTTTTTCCCCAGGCTAATTGTGCTTCATTAGTTTGGCATCAAATTGAGCCTCCTGTGTGCCAAGTCCTATCCCAGCTGCTGCAAGTAATATAAAAATGTAATTAAAAACGGTTCTGTATGCTTAATCACTTCTAAAAATAGTGTTTATCATCTTAAGACAATGAGCAGCTGGCCCTGGGGGTCTCAGAGGACATCATGGTCAATTGGCGTAATATAGCCCACAAATACAATGTTCTACTGCCTACTTTTATGAGTAGCGTCTGAGATCTTAAACGCTCACAAGCAGCTGTCTAAAGTGCAGGCAGCGATTGGTCTCCCGATGTGCAGCAGAAAAGAAGAGTGATAAAAATCTAAGAGGCTTGGAATCAGTTACTTCAGTGGACTAATGGAACTTGTGAGCATCTGTCTCCGTGACTCTGAGACCAGAACTAGATGGTGCCTGGCTACCACTGCCGACTGCTCTGAAACAGCTCACATAGAAGCTCCAAGATAGAAAGCAGCGTAATATGTGCAATAAAACTCAAAATTATTTGGAGGGGAGAAAAAAAAAAGTACTGAACTTACTGGTCAGAAAGCGACTGGAGGAACCCTGAGACGGATGGCCCTCGACCACCCTTCAGGTCTGGAAAGAAACTCACCCTTGTGGCCCAATTTTCAGCCAAGCAATAGATAGGTATATTGGAGGAACAGCAACATTAGTAAGGTGTGCTCACTATGAATGCTGGAGTGCCCAGTCATTTTTAATCACAAGGTGGCATTTCCCTAAGGACAGCGCTGAGAAGTGATGGGACGGAACTAGGAGCCACAGGGAGGAAGCGGGATCACTCTTGTTCCATAGAGGGGATTGCAATCATTGAGTTGAAATAGAGTGTGGTGGTGGTTATGTGCCATGGAGTCGGTTCCAACTCATAGCGACCCTGTATAGGATTTTCGAGGCTGTAAATCTCTGCGGGAACAGAAAGCCTCATCTTTCTTCCGCAGAACAGCTGGTAGTTTCAAACTGCTGACCTTGTGGTTCACAGCACAATTCATAACCACTACGCTACCAGAACTCCTTGAAATAAAGTGTGTTGTTGTTGTTGTCAGGTGCCTTTGAGTCGGAACCGACTCATAGCGACCCCATGCACAGTTGTTGTTGTTGTTGTTGTGATGTGCCATGGAGTCGGTTCCGACTCATAGCGACCCTGTAACAGGGTTTCCGAGGCTGTAAATCTTTACAGGAGCAGAAAGCCTCATCTTTCTCCCGCAGAACCGCTGGCAGTTTCGAACTGCTGACCGTAAGGTTCGCAGCCCGATTCGTAATCACTACGCTACCAGAGTAGAACAGAACAATGTCCGATCCTGGGCCAACCTCACTACCGCTGCCACACTTGATGTCATCAATGATGCCACCTGGCCAATTCATCTCGTTCGGGGTCTTCCTCTTTTTCTCTGACCTTCCATCTTACCAAGCATGATATCCTACTCCAACGACTGTTCCCTCCTGACAATATGTTCAAAGTATGAGAAACGAAGTTTAGCCATCCTGGCCTCCATGTACTTCTTCCAAAACAGATCTTTTGGTTCTTTTGGAAGTCCGTGGCACTTTCAGTATTCTCCTCCAACACCACAATTCAAAGGCATCAATTCTTCTACAATCTTCCTTATTCACTGTCCAGCTTTCGCATCCATATAAGGTTATTGAAAATATCATGGCTTTGTAGGATTTGTTAATGCAAAACTGATAATCTTGTCTGTAAACCTTCCTCAATTCACAATAAAAAGTTTTAAAATAATAGTAATAATGGAATTTTTACATGAAAAAAAAAATATGTATATACTGTTTAAGCCATCCATGTTTGCTCTTTTCCAAACCTGCCAATATTCTGGTCATCTTTCTGGACATATTCTCATCTTTGAATGCCTTAATTAAAATATAGCAATCAGAATAAGAAAGACTTATTTCACATGCAGTTAGGAGCCACTGCAGTGTGTAACAGAAGTGCTTCCTCTTCTATCTAAACACTACATTTCTTTTAATGTAGCCCAAGAATCATTTAATCTGTAGCACTGGGAGCTTTGGGGGCTGGATAAGCCTCTGTTGTAGGGCTGTCCTGTGCATTGTAGGGAGTTTAGCAGCTTCCCTGGCCTGTATCCACCAGATGCCAGTGATAGCCCCCTCACCTCCTAGCTGGGACAACCAAAAATCTCTCAGAGACTGCCAAATGCTCCCTGGAGCAAAAGTGCTCCCAATTATTGATTTCCTGCATGCGTGTTTTAGATTGTCGGACTCTGTAGCAGTACTTTAAGAAAAAACTTAGGGAGCTGAAGAGAAGTGTAAAGTCTGAATGACACTCACAGTTTGCTTCCCTTATCCCACAGTTCCTCAATCTCAACTCCAGATAAGAAAACTGCGACCTCACTGTAGCCTTACTGAATGACCTGCAATGTTGCTGAATTCCCTTTGTTTTGATAGCTTTTGTTTCCTGAGTAAGTCTGTAGAAATTTCAGTGGCCCTTCCTGTTGGCTAAGGAAAAAGAAGCAATTACAAACCTTATCTCTTTCCAGATTGTCTTCAGTGACCAGCCAGTGCGAACTGACTCACTAGAAGTGATGAGAAACTAACACACATAATCCGAAACATTCCTTATTACATTAGCTCAAATTTATGGGAAATATTCAGTATGTTTTTTCAAAATTATCCCTGGCTTCATGCTGAGATTAATTCTGTTACAGTCTCCAAAGGAAAAGTTGTGTTCACATTTAAGTAAATCAAAGACGCTTTAGACAATGAAACACTGCTGATATTGTGGATAGGTTTTAGTAGTCCAGGCCTGGTTCATGGCTAGAAATTCTGACAATTGTTGAGAAAAAAGACAGGTCAGAACTCATTTCTTCATGAGTAATCCAGACCAGAAAAACTTAATGAAAGACTAACTATGCTTTGTGGTGGTTGTAAAGCGCCACTGAGTCAGTATTGACTCATAGTAACCCTGTGTAGTGTTTCCGAGGAGTGGCTGCTAGGTTTGAACCATCAACCTTGTAGTTAGCAGCCCAGTGCCAATCCTATAACCCCACACTTGTTGTTGTTATTGTTAAGTGCCGTTGAATCAGTTCCAACCCATTATAGGGTTTCAAGGAGCGGCTGGTGAGCTTGAACCACGGACCTTGCAGTTCAAACAGGTTTGTCGTCTGGCGCATTAACCCACAGCACCACACCAGGACTCCACATATGCACATATGCTTTGTTTTATTTTATTCATAAGAAATTCCACTCCGTTTTTTTCAGCTTCAGAGTTAGAACATCTAAATAACAATGCTGCCCCCCAAAATAATAATAATTGAGAAGATAGGGGGAAAAGAAATAATTTTGTCTCTTGATGGGAAACAATGATTTTCTGTACATGAACTTTGATCTTCCGTCTTTATTATCCATTCATTCATTAAGTATATCATTGTTGAGTACACATAATGTAGGTTATTTCTAGGTCCCTGAGCATTCATTCTACTTGGGGAGACAGATGCTGCTGTTGTTGTTGGTAAGTGCCATTGAGTCGGTACTGACTCAGTAATCTTGTAGAAGGTATCTGAGGAGTGGCTTGTGGGTTTGAACTGCCAACCTTGTGATAGCAGTCCAGGGCGTATCCTATCTCAGCACACCAGAACTCCAGGCAGGGAGGCAGTTAGTTATCAATTAATGAAATAAATTATGAACATTGATTTAGTTATATAGGAGCTGTGGTAGCACAGTGGTTACAAGTCGGGCTGTTGACCTCAAGGTCAGCAATTCGAAACTACCAGCTGTTCAGTGGGAGAAAGACAGGACTTTCTGCTCCCATAAAGATTTATAGCCTCAGAAACCCTGTGTGGGGTCACTATGAGTTGGAATCGACTCCACGGCACACCACCATCTAGTTAAATGTATTGTGAAATCATGATACAAATTAAGATCATGTAGTAAATTCTCAAATAATTTATAGAAATAAGAGTAGCTTCTTTTAAACTCTGAACAAGCAAAATGAACATCACCTTGATCCTTCCGAAGTAGCAAATGCACAGATTATGATATCCTTCATGTGGAGTTAGGTGTTTGTGTCTTAATTGTATTTTTTTTTTTTAATAGATCAAAGTTTTGACATTCCAGACAGAACTTTTCATTCTACAAATACAACTTGGCGCCTGTCATCTTTTGAATCCATGACTGACGTGAAAGAGCTTATCCCTGAGTTTTTCTATCTTCCGGAGTTCTTAGTTAATCGTGAAGGTATAACCTCTGGTGGTTTCAAATTTGTACCTCTGAGTGTTTTATCATTTTCCAAAAACAACTTTTGCAAGTTCCAAAATTTGAGTCCCCAAATAGAAATGCCTTTATTTATTAACCATGTAATTTTTCTTTCAAGTGAGCGTAAAGAATTGAAGTATTTTATGGAACTAAATATTTGTAGGATAATGCACTGGGCCACAAGGTTGGTTTGAACTACAAGGTTGGTGGTTCAAATTCACCAGCCATTCCTTGAAAACACTATACTTGGTCACTACGAGTTGAGACCAACTTGAAGGCACTTGAAAACAACAACAACAAATACATTCACTGAAAACAAAATGTAAATTAACCAATTTTTAACAATTATTTTCTGAGGGATGACAGAAATAATTGTTTGATAGCCAGAAAAACATAAGAAACCAGTTGCCTTCAAGTCAGTTCTGATTCCTGGCAACCCTGTGTGTGTGAAGGATTTTCACTGGCAGATCTCTCAGAAATTCATCACCAAGACTGTCTTCTAAGGCGTCTCTAGGTTTTCAGATAGCAAGCTGAGCATGCAACCATTTGCCGCACCTAAGAACTCCCCTAGAATGATGAAGTCTAATGGTTTGCAGTGCTGGTGCCCAACCATCTTGGCCAGCCTCACCTGCTTGTGGTTTTCCTACTTTATTTACTTTTGTATTTTAGGTCACCCTTAGGGATAAATGAAATTGAAGATTATCTTTAGAAAAGTTACTGTGAGGCAAATTACTTCAGCATTTGATACTAACCTCTCTGTAGTTGTTTGGAGAATCATTAATCAATCCTAGCTGCTGTTACCCTGGAATATGTTCCATCATTTTTCAAATGAGCACTGCCTGAGCCAAACAGGAGGACCAGTGGTGCAGTGCTTAAGCACTCAACTGCTAACTGAAAGGTCAATGGTTGAAACCCGCGAGCCGCTTCATAAGTCTGGCAATTCTAATCTGTCCTGTAAGATCTCTATGAGCCAGAATCAACTTGACAGCAACGTGTTTGGTTTGGGTTTTGGTTCATTTGAGGTGACTTCCTTGTGCCTTTCAGTTGGGGATGTATATTTAAATTTACTGCCAATTTTCCTTGCTTGTGGTCTCCTGTTAGTGTATCTATTGCTGCATAACAGTTAACCCAACACTTCATTGTTGTTGTTGAGTGCTGTTGAGTCAGTTCTGACTCATAGCTATCCTGTGTATAGGGTTTCTGAGGGGCAGCTGGTGAGTTTGTACTACCAGCCTTGCGGCTCAAACTGACTTTGCGGTCCAGCGCATTATCCTGTAGTGCGACACTTAATGACTAAAAATTTAATAAGCTGGTTATCACAGATTTTGTAGGTCAGAAATTCCAGAACAGCTCATCCAGGTTTTGCATTCAGAGTGGCTGGAGCGGGAGTAGCCGGGGATGGGGGGGTGGGGGCGGGGCGCTAGGGCAGCTGGAAGCTGGCGGGCTTCTCACTGTCCCATGTTCTCGCAGAGCTTTTCCAGGTCACCTCTCCACTTGAGATCCTTTGGGCTTCCTTATAGCATTGTGGCCTCAGGCATCCTCCTACTCCTACCTGGCAGCTCAGGGTTTCAAAAGCCAGAGTCCCAAGTGACAGACCAGCAGAACCTGTGGGGCCTGTGCTGACCTAGCCTTGAATTGTCACTCACCATCACTTCCACTGTGGTGTTCTGTTGCCTTAGGCTTCTGCCTGCCCAAGTTCCAAAGAAAAGAATGGAGGTCTTACCTCTTGATGAGGGAGTGGCAAGATTCTGGAAAAGCAAGCTAGACAGGACACATTGCTGTAGTCATTTTTGGAAGACATGATATGATGTAACATTGTTGTTAAGTGCTATCGAGTCAATTCTGACCCATAGCAACCCTGTACAGGGTTTCTAAGGAAAAGCTGTTGAGTTTGAACTGCCGACCTTGTAGTTCAAAGTGACATTGTAGTCCAGTGTATTAACCCACAACGCCACACCAGGACTCCGCGCTGTAACGGACGTGATGCCATTTCATATGGCATTTAGTTTGACCTCTGCAACGTAGTGCCTTCCGGGCCCCAACCCTTTCCCTGTAGGCGTTATTCATTTTCCGTAAGTCACTTCCTGTAGCTTCTCCTGAGGCCACCTGCCCTCTGCAGGTGCTCAGTCCATCCTGACTCTGCCCTGCAGCTACTCCACAGAGTGACCACCTTGCTGTGTTGGAATGGTCCCACCCTTATCCCCACGTAAATCTTACATTGTTGTTGTGAAGTGCCATTAAGTCGATTCCGATCCATAGCGACCCTGTATAGGGTTTCCAAGGAGCAGCTGGTGAGCTTGAACCACCGACCTTGCAGTTCAAACAACTTTGCAGTTTGATGCATTAGCCCACAGCGCCACACCAGGACTCCTACTTAAATCTTATAGAAGCCCTGAATTTCTATTTCAAATCATATTATATCAAAATCTTTCCAAAATTTGTGAAGAACGTTATGTTTTCACAAGTTCAAGAAGTAGAAAGACAGCAGTTTAATTTCATATGAGGTTTGATCAGCTTTTAGCAGATCTTTTACATGTTTTTTTTCTGATTTAGTGTTCAGCTTTGCTGTCCATCAAAGGAAGTACAAAGAGCCATTTCTTTTAGGGAAAAAAACAAAACAAAAGTGCTTCTAAAAACTTTTATTTACAGTAGTAGACTAGTGAAACAATTCAATATCCCATATATTTGTATCTTAGAACAAGCCCCTAATTTGATATATGGGATATTTTTTGTTGTCTACAAGAATGGGTAGTAGAAAGAAAATCAAAATAGACCTTGAACCATACTATAAAAGTAGTAGACTTTGAGAACTCAGTCTTGGAATAAGCATAACTATGGAATACTAATATTTAATAAACATTGTTGTTAGGTGCCATCGAGTTGGTACCAACTCATAGAGACCCTATACACAACAGAATGAAACACTGCCCAGTCCTAGGCCAACCTCACTATTGTTGCTGTGCTTGAGCCCACTGATGCTGTCACTTTGCCAGTCCATCTCGCTGGGGGTCATCCTCTTTTCCTAAACATAAACAGGCCTAAATTTGGTTAAATATTAATACAAGTGATTCAGGTGCATGATAGACTAGATATATAAGCACTTACAGCATTTGAAGGGAGCACGGTGGCTTCATATGATAAGCACTGGACTGCGAACCACAGGGTCCTCAGTTCTAGCCCACCATCCTCTCTGTGGGAAAAAGATGAAGCTTTCTGCTCTCACAAAGATTTGCAGCCTCAGAAACCCTATGCAGGGTTGCTATGAGTCAGAACTGACTCCACAACACTTAACAACAGCAACAATTGCATTTGAGGATCTGATTTGTAGAAATGCAATTATTATCTGCTTATTCTTTGACTTGTTATAAAGTGGCAAAAAGACAAAGTTGAGTGATCTCAAATTCTAATATTATTATCACTGTTGTTGTTAAGTGCCATCGAATCTGTTCTGACTCATAGTGACCCTGTATAGGGTTTCTGAGGAGCAGCTGGTGGACTTGACTGCTGACCCTGTGGTTCGCAGTCCAGGGTTGATCCTCCAGCGCCACACCAGAAGTAAGTAGGTAGATGAACAATTGTGTGTCTTATTTTAAAGGTAAATCTTTTCTGCTCTGTTTCCTGTCCACTACGCTCATTGGCTGTTTCTGTAGATTCTTGAGACCTGCCCTGCGTTGCTCTTGTCTTTCAGGTTTCGACTTTGGTGTGCGTCAGAATGGCGAGCGGGTTAATCACGTCAACCTGCCCCCCTGGGCGCGTAACGATCCTCGTCTTTTCATCCTCATCCATCGTCAGGCTCTGGAGTCTGACTGTGTGTCCCAGAACATCTGTCAGTGGATTGACTTGGTGTTTGGCTATAAGCAGAAGGGGAAGGCATCCGTTCAAGCCATCAATGTCTTCCACCCTGCTGTAAGTGAAGCTGTGAGAATATGCTCAGTTCTAACGCACGGTGGCTGTAGGTGTGCACAGTAGAAGCCCACTGCTCCATGGTTTAAGTCACCAGGTCCGTCCTCTGAGGTGCCTCTGGGTGAATTTGAACTGCCAGCCTTTTGTCTAGTAGTCACGCACTTAACCAGAGACTCCTTATACAAGCTGAATAGTTAAAAGACAACTGCTACTACCCAAGATTTTCAGGTTTTACATTTCATATCTTTTTAAATAACTGTAATGTTATCTGTATTGAAATGGGGAGCAAGGGTCCCCCAAGACCAAACCTAGGTTAGAGTGTCACTGCAAGTTCTTACCAGCTGCCAAATATGACTTTTTAGGCTCCTTACTAGCTAAGGCTTATCACAGTGAAAGGACACAAAGCAAAATCAGTGACGGGAAAAGACACACGGAGACAGTCTGAAGGAACCAGGTGTCTGTGAAGTTTCTCCCGGTGAGTGACAAAGAACACACATGTGAGGAACCTTGGTTGTGAAGTGGTTACTCTCTCAGATGCTCACCAAAAGGCTGGTGGTTCAGACCCATGTACGGGGAAAAAGACCTGCTCCCCTAAACATCACAGTCTAGAAAACCCTGTGGGGCAGGTCGACTGTCCTAGAGGGGCACTGTGAGCCAAACACCCAACACTACACAAAGCACACTTACTTCCTCCAGCAGCAGATTGTGACAGCCCGTGTGACCAGTTGTCTACCAGAGAAGCCCATTAGAGACCCAGGGCTTTTATAAGGGCTGGTAATGTAGCCTAGTCTGGCATATACTTGTTGTTGTTGTTGTTAAGTGCCGTCAAGTCGGTTCTGACCCATAGCGACCCTGTACAGGATTTCCGAGGGTGTAAATCTTTACAGGAGTAGAAAGCCTCATCTTTCTCCCGCGGAGCAGCTGGTAGTTTCGAACCGCTGACCTTAAGGTTCGCAGCCCAATTAGTAACCACTACGCTACCAGAGCTCCCTAGTCTGGCATATACTATGATTCCAGATTCCCAGACAGATAGCAAGTGTTGAGCAGCAGCCACATTGTGCAAACAGTTTAGGCCCAGTGAGAGAACAGTGACAACTCTACCAAGATCCAGGTTCCCAGATGCCAACCATGGGTCAGCCTTGGAAGAGGCCCTAGTGAGGCGAGGTCTCTCTCTTCTGTTTTCCAGGTTAGCAAACACTTGCGTACAGAAGCAGCATGTGTGCAGTATTAGAAAAAGGGGTCAAATGCAGATGGGCAAGAAGTCATTGAAAAATCAACTCCCCACCTTGCAGACTTTTTACTATGCATATATACTATTGCATTTATATTATAATATTTTTATAATGTTTTCAACACTATGGTCTTAAAATAGTTCAAATCATTAGATATTATTCTATGTAATTTTAATGGCTACTTACTACCCCAAAATATGGTTATATAATAATTTATTTAACCAGTTCATTATTAATACAATTTAGCTAGTTTTTTTGTGGTGTTTTTTTGCTGTTCAAGGTTATTTCTTTATGTACATCTTTATTTCCTCATAGTAAATTCCTAAACATAGAATGATTACACTTTCCTTACATGTACTTTTTGAGTTGCTAGTTAGGCTGTTTCGAAAAAAGAAAAGCAATTTTATTATTTAGGAAACATATCTTTACATTGGGCATTTTTGTTTGGCCCTGGGGATGCAAATAGAAATGCTCTTGGCCCCTCACTTACCATTCATGAACACACTGAGTTCACGTAGAAGCTTAGCACGGAGTATAAAGAAGCACTATTGGAATGAACTAGCAGCAAGGCTTGTTAGAGGATTTCGGAGTGCGTTAACATTAGCATGGCCCTGGGATGGTGGGAGTGGTGGGAGGGTGGGTAATGTGGAAGATTATTTAGCTTCAAAAGTGTTTTTAAATTTTGACTTTGCCACTTACAGAAATGTTGCACCCAGATACTTCAGTGAAACTTTCTATAATCAAATACTAAAAGCTAACCATACAAGTATGTATGCATAAAGTACGGCAGATCTGTACCCAGCTCCTGACTGCTAGCTTTAGAAAAATAGAAGCAAGTGAGATGCCTGGATTCTTCTTCTCAGTCTCTGAGCGATGACAGCAGGAAGAGTAAGAGTGTAGTATGTGTGCTATACTAAGAGCTTGGACGTACCCATGCAGCTCTTCCAGAGTCACTTTGTTTTCTCTAGAACCTAATTCATACTCTCTTGAATTGCATCTTAACTTCAGTTGTGCCTTTACATCATTTTGGACAAGCAACACGAGACTAAAACAAATTGTGTGTATTTTGGTATGATTTCCAAGTCTTGCTTTAGACATATTTCTGTTCTCTTTTGCTCTTACTCATCAGACATACTTTGGAATGGACGTGTCTGCAGTTGAAGATCCTGTGCAGAGAAGAGCACTGGAAACCATGATAAAAACCTATGGCCAGACCCCACGTCAGTTGTTCCACACAGCACATGCAAGCAGACCTGGATCCAGACTCAGCATTGAAGGAGAGTTCCCTGCTGCCGTGGGATTGTTGGTGCAGTTTGCTTTTGGAGAAACTCGAGACCAGGTCAAAGAGATTACCTATCCGGTATGTCACTTGTATTTTAGTAGAATTCAGTAAAAACAGATTTAACTCCTGTGGTGCCAAGTCCTCGCTCAGGATCTAGCGATGAAGGACACAGCATGAAGGACATGGTCCCAGCCTGCAGATGGGCAGTGACTAGTAGGATATAGGGACACAGGAATGAAGGACATGGTCCCAGCCTGCAGATGGGCAGCGACTAGTAGGATCTAGGGACACAGGTTTGAATGACATGGTCCCAGCCTGTAGATGAGCACCGATTAGTAGGATCTAGGGACACAGGTATGAATGACATGGTCTCGCCTGCAGATGGACACCGACTAAAAGGATCTAGGGACACAGGTATGAAGGACATGAGCCCAGCCTTCAGATGGACACCGACTAGAAGGATCTAGGGACACAGCATGAAGGACATGATCCTAGCCTGCAGATGGACACCGACTAGAAGGATTTAGGGACACAGATATGAAGGACATGGTCCCGCCTGCAGATGGACACCGACTAGAAGGATCTAGGGACACAGGTATGAAGGACATGGTCCCACCTGCAGATGGACACCGATTAGTAGGATCTAGGGACACAGCATGAAGGACATGATCCCAGCCTGCAGATGAGCACCGATTAGTAGGATCTAGGGACACAGGTATGAATGACATGGTCTTGCCTGCAGATGGACAACGACTAGAAGGATCTAGGGACACAGCATGAAGGACATGAGCCCAGCCTGTAGATGGACACCGACTAGAAGGATCTAGGGACACAGGTTTGAATGACATGGTCCCAGCCTATAGATGAGCACCGATTAGTAGGATCTAGGGACACAGGTTTGAATGACATGGTCCCAGACTGTAGATGAGCACCGATTAGTAGGATCTAGAGACACAGGTATGAATGACATGGTCTCGCCTGCAGATGGACACCGACTAGAAGGATCTTGGGACACAGGTATGAAGGACATGAGCCCAGCCTGCAGATGAACACCGACTAGAAGGATTTAGGGACACGGGTATGAAGGACATGGTCCCGCCTGCAGATGGACACCGACTAGTAGGATCTAGGGACACAGGTATGAAGGACATAGTCCCACCTGCAGATGGACACCAACTAGTAGGATCTAGGGACACAGGTATGAATGACATGGTCTCGCCTGCAGATGGACACTGATTAGTAGGATCTAGGGACACAGCATGAAGGACATGATCCCAGCCTGCAGATGAGCACCGATTAGTAGGATCTAGGGACACAGGTATGAACGACATGGTCTTGCCTGCAGATGGACACCGACTAGAAGGATCTAGGGACACAGCATGAAGGACATGAGCCCAGCCTGCAGATGAACACCGATTAGTAGGATCTAGGGACACAGCATGAAGGATATGAGCCCAGCCTGCAGGTGGACACCGACTAGAAGGATCTAGGGACACAGCATGAAGGACATGATCACAGCCTACAGATGGGCACCGACTAGTAGGATCTAGGGACAGAGGTATGAATGACATGGTCTCGCCTGCAGATGGACACCGACTAGAAGGATCTAGGGACACAGCATGAAGGACATGAGCCCAGCCCGCAGATGGACACCGACTAGAAGGATTTAGGGACACAGGTATGAAGGTCATGGTCCCAGCCTGTAGATGGGCAGCGACTAGCAGGAAACAGGTGTGTACAGCTCACAGCAATGTCTGGTGTGTAGTAAAGGCTGTTTTAGTGACAGGAAGGGAGTGCTTTTGTGAGCACCTACCCACTGCCACAGATTCATTCCAGCTTATAGCAACCTGTATAGAGTTTCCAAGGCTATAAAGTAAATCTTTGCAGGAGCAGAAAGCCTCTGCTGTCTCCCACGGAGTAACTGATGGGTTTGAATCACCAACCTTGTGGTTAGCAGTCCGGTGCTCCAGCGCCCCCAGGGCCCCTTTGTGTGAGCATGGAGATTATAACCTTCTGCAGGGAATGTTGTTGTGGAGTTGGTTCCACTCATAGCAACCCTGAATAGAGTTTCTGAGGAGTGGCTGGTGGGTTTGAACTACTGACCTTGTGGTCCGCAGTCCAGTACTGATCCTGTAGCGCCATACTAGAAGGGTGTTAACCAGGGAAAGTCTTCCTTCATAGGATTGTGACATCAGAGGATACTTGTAAGTGACTAGAGGACCCGTCCAGGAGCAGAGAACATGTCCAACAGGGCATGGCAGTGGACACTGAAGCACTCACTGCCCAGAGGTGGGCTTGTGTCTGGTTTGTACTGAAAGAGGAAATAAATGTACTTCTTTGGCCTCCCCAGATTGCAATAATAAAAAGTAACGGCTCTAGCAATAGGAAGCAGGTGCCATTTTTACTTTGAAATAGAAAAATAAAGCAAATAAGCCTTATTAAGTAACGTAGATTTTAATGTTGGGTTTAATTCTTCATTATAAAAGTAGCCTAAGTTGGGAGATGTAAAGTGGTTTAAAGGGTTTGTAGAAGGAAGTGGCAGAAAATGAAAAGACGAGGGCAGGGTGGTTGTGAGGGGTCTTAAAGGTGAAATAAAGCAAGGATCTCAAACATGAGAAATACGTGGTCTGTTTGCAGAGGAGGCGTTCACAGCCCTTGTTTGGGTACTTTTTTGATAAAATGATGTGGAAAATATGTCAGGGCACTAGGATGTAAACACTTTATGCCGTAGCTCACATATGCCAGATTCTCATATCAAATACAAATAAAACTTAGAAAACCAATAAAATTCTAACATAAAACATTAGGATAGTAGAAAATGTTGTTTTCCTGAAACAAGATCACCAGTGTTGTATTACCTAACAGAAATTTATACTTTTTGTTTTGTCAACTCTTAAGATTTGAAGTTCATAGAGCATATTAGGCATCGTTACCAGGGTCACTATTTTTAACTAAAATCAGTATTTTAATGTGTCAAAATAATTCCATGAATGGCATTTAATTTGCTAGTGTGTTGTTGTTGTTGTTGTGAAGTACCGTCAAATCAGTTCCGACTCAGTGACCCTGAATAAGGTTTCCGAGAAGTGACTTGTGGTTCAAACTGACTTTGCAGTCCAGCACATTAGCCCACAGTGCCACACCAGGACTCCAAAAGCTGTAATAAAAACATTTAACTAAAGCACTGTACTTTAAGGCATCTAGTGAGGTGAAACAGTTGCCACTGTATGGTTTTGTGTAACTGAAAATTTAAATTCCACAATTCACATAAAAAGAATGTTCTGGCCAGGATCTGTGAGGAATAAGTCACACTCTGAAGAGTCTCCGAGGCTGAGGAGTTTAAAGGAAGAACTTGTGTTCACGGTTCCTGTCTCTGACCTCATCCTCTCTCTAGCATTCCTGAAACTCCTGAGCTTTTTCAGGTGTTCATTCTCTTTTCCGACCACTGCGACTTTTTAAAGGAGCTCTCTGGTAGTGTAGTGCTAATCTCACATGGTCAGCAGTTTGAAACTACTAATGGTTCCTTGGGAGGAAGATGAGGCTTTCTGCTCCCATAAAGATTTACAGCCTCAGAAACCCTGTACAGGCTTACTGTGAGTTAGAACCAACTCCCAACACACAGTCACCACCACCGTGACATCTTTGAAACATGTAGATCAATGGTGCCTATTTTTTTTTCTCTCATTATTTGAAAAGTGAATTAAGCAAAATTTCACTGAAAATCATTAAGTTTTTTTGTGGAAATGACTAAAATTGCTTCTTGTTGTTGTTAGGTGCCATCGAGTCAGTACCAACCACAGCAGAATGAAACACTGTCCAATCCTGGGCCAACCTCACTACTGTTGCCAGACTTGAGCCCATCAATGCTGCCACTTGGCCAGTCCATCTTGCTGGGGCTCTTCCTCTTTTTCTCTGACCCTCCACCTTACCAAACATGATATCCTTCTCCAGCGACTGGTCCCTCCTGACAATATGTCCGAAGTATGAAAGACAAAGTTTGGCCATCCTGGCCTCCAAGGAGCACTCTGGCTGCACTTCTTCCAAAATGGATCTATTGGTTCTTTTGGCAGTCCATGGTACTTTCAATATTCTCCTCCAACACCATAACTCAAAATAATCAATTCTTTAAAATAGCATTATATTTTTTTTCAGATTATTTTAGCATTTTTCCTCTGAAGAGTTGAAAGTAAAATAATTAACTTTTAAATATCTAAAATTTTTGAATGTCAATAAAAAAAGAAGAGACCATCAAAAATAGAACAAGTAAGAGTAGAATTTTTCAGGAGAAACCTCTTAAAACTACATAGTTTCTTCTCTTCTTAATAATCTTCTGGATCATTATTTTCACCTTTTCATTACTGTTTTGGGACTGGCACGTGGGTCTCCCTCTCCAGTCTTCCCTCACCTTTGTGACCCAGTTCTTTTGTTCTTCCTTTGTTCTTTACTGACAACTCTTTGTTTCTCTGACAGCTATGGTGCTTGTGTGGGTGTTCCACATTTAGCATGTTGTGCCTTCTGTCTGGTCCTTTCAGGGTGCTCCATACTGAACATCCTTCCTTCTTTCATCGATTGAAAATCTGTGTGCCAGGCAGGATGCTAGTGCTAAGATAAAGATGAGTTAGAAGGTTCCTTCTTGTGGTCGGACTGTCTCCCTTCTTCTTTCTTTTTTTTTTTTCCTTTTTAGCATTGTATTGTGCTTTAGGTGAAGTTTATGAATTGTTCTATGACATTAGTTTCCCCCCACCAAATAAATGTGTCAAGACTCTTTCCCATGTCTATTCTGCCTTCTCCAGTTTCTGCCCTCCGGTTTCCCTAACCCTGGTTGTCTTCTCTCTCATCTTTAGTTTGGGGCTAATGCTGCCCTTTTGGTCTCATATAGCTGATTCTATTAAGGAACACATTCCTCATGGGTGTTATTATTTATTTTATAAACCAATTTGTCATTTAGTTAAAAAATGACTTCAGGAGTGGCTTCAGGCCTGGATTCAAAGGTTGTCTTAGGGCCAACAGCTCTGAAGTTCCTTTAGTTTCTATTAGTCCATTAAGTATGGTATTTTTAATGAATTTGAATTTTGTTCTAC